GATGTCGGCGGAGGTTCGCGGTTACCGTTGGGTTGTTGCTGTGTGAGAAAAGGTGAGACGCCAGAATTTACTGCAGCTGCTCGTCCAGTGAGACATCTGTGATGGGAGGTGTCCACTCCCCCATCTTTAATGATACCCAGGTGTTCGCTCCGAGCAGACGCAGAGTTTCACTGGTGAATATTAAAATACAATCTTGTGATGTGACTGCTTGTCTTGGAGATTATTTGATTCAGTGTCTCATGAAGAAGGCACTTTCAAAGTCATCATTTCAGATCTTTTCAGTTTGGAGGAAGATCCATTCAGTCCTCCTCTTCACCCACATCAAAGCCGTGATTGGTCCTTCCTCTGGACCTGCTGCCCCTGCTCACATGCTGGCCTCCTGGTCCAGACTGGTACCCCTGCTGGTCTCCATTATCCTCATACTGGCTCTGATACTGCTCTCCATCCTGGTCGTCACACTGGTTCTCCTCCTGATTGTGCTGCTGATGGTCGTATCCCCTCTCCTCCGGGGCAGACCAGCCCTGGTAGGGCCTCTCGTCCTGGTCCTGGGGGTAAAGGTCGTCGTCGGGGGAGAAGGTGTCGTCGAGGTGGTCGTCGTAGCGCTGGTAGGAGCTGGCGTGCGCCTGCTGCTCCCGGGCGTTGAGCTCCAGCGTGCTGTGCCACACTCCGTAACAACCGTAGATCAACAAACCTGAGGACGCACAGACGGTAACTGTTAGACACAGAGAGAGCAGGTAACGGTCCAGCTGGAGAGAGTTATCGACCTTCATGAGGTCCAGAAGGCGGGAAACTCTTCCCTCGCTTTGTCATCTGTCTGCCAACTGCAGATAGAGATCAAAGTCTGGATGTACAGTAAGTTCTTCTCTCTGGTGAAAGAGACAGACAGAGTCATCTAGGGGCAGTGGTTCCCAACCTGAGGGTCGGGACCTCCATTAGGGGTCACCAAAGCTTCACATGGGGGTCGCGAAGTCTTCTTGATTTTAAAGGATGTCAGAATAAATATACACGGTAGGCCTATATCTGTTCTTTTCTAAAGTTTAGTATTATTTAAGATCTAAACTGAAGAAAACACAAAATGTGTTAAAAAAAAAGAAGCCTATTAAATATATATTCTTATAAAAATTGTTATAAAACATTTTAAAATACATGATACGGAGAGAATTGTATTAAATGTCTGCTTTCTGTACTGTTGCTATTATTGAATATGATATTAAATATCTATAAAATATGTCACTTAGAGTTTGTCATTCTGAAGAGGTGGGAAGTACAAATACTGTCTTACTGTACTTTTGTTTAGGTATTTTTACTTTACTAACAACTTTTTACTTTTACTTGCTACATTTTTTACACAAACCTCCTTTCTACTATTATAGAATTTTAGATTTGTTTCCTTTACATAGGGACTTTTTAAGACATAAATAAATTCTAATCTAGTTCGGGGCATTTTTTGCTAATGTCTTGAGTGTTTTATTAAATGATAATAGTCTAAAAATTCTGTGAAAATGCATAGTTATCAGTCAAATAACATCAACATTTCCTCATTCAACATACCTCCAAGAGAGTACTTTTTACTTTTATACTTTGAGTAAAGAATTTGAATCAGTACTTCAGCTTTTACTGTAATATTCTTTTACACAAGCATCTCTACTCTCTATCTGTCTACTAAGTAAAGAATGTGTACTTTTGCCACCTCTGGTATTTTGCCAAACCGCGATGAACTAGAAGCCAAAAGAAGAAAAGTCTTGGAGGGAAATAGAGAATCTAAAAATGCTTCCCCGTGCACAGATTCGCTTGCTTTCACCTCCAACGCTGCTGGCTTATGAAATGAAAACACTTGTGAAACAAGGATGAAACATAAAGCACATTATATTGTGTACTGTGAGAGATCTATGGCTGGTTTCAACCTGTGCTGACTGAAGAGCAGACTATAAGATAGACACAAAGTAAAACTAAGCACCGGTGCAACTGAAGTAACTCAAACCATACACCAAAACAGATGTCTATCTTAAATCCTCTTCCAAGATTGTTGAAGTTGTTGTAGAGTTATTTCTCATCTTTCAGGTCCATTCTTCATATGGGCTGTCGCTGGCAGCCAGAATTTAAACATCCTGAATGCACATTCGTCAAAAACAAATATAAACATCTTGCAAGGAGGAGCAGAGACTAATAAGTTGCCATATGATGATCAATAGTGGCCTTTTCTGGGTTTTTTCTTCTACAACCGCAGGTAACTGACTGTAGGTAGACTGAGAGGATAACAGACTTTTATCGTATTACAATTCAAACTGGACTATTATCACATAATGTATTCCTATAGTTATATATTACATTATATGTCCTGGTCATTTATTACTGATAATTATCATCACTATTTTCCATAGTAAACCAAGTATACCAAAGCAACAGAAAATACTTGTTTCTAAGTGGCTGTTAGATCCCTATTAACTACTGGTCAGCAGTTTACCTACAATTACAATTCAGTCGTATTAAAAAACAAGTTTACACCCTTAAAACTAACCATGTTAGTGCCATGCTATAATAGTTTCCTCCTCTAATCCATTATTTTCTATATCCAGACAGCATTTTAAATCTATAATGAAGAATGTGTTATCTCACCTATGAAGCACCAGACAATGAACCTGGCCCAGGTGAGTGGAGACAGTTTAAGCATGAGGTAGCTGTTGACCAATATGGCCGCCGCAGGGACGAAGGGCACGCAGGGCGCCATGTAGGGCAGTTTCCTCCCACTCTCTGGCTGCTGTAGGATCATAACCAAAAGCTTCGCCATGGATCCCGCCATCAGTGTGGCAGTGAGGCCTGAAAACACCGCCCCGGCACCCGTCCCCTGCTCAACGCCAAATATAACGGTGGACCAGAGGAGGAAGGACATGAAGAAGAGGAGGAGGGTGCATCGGGTCACTATGCGGCCGGTGGCAGGAGTGGGCCGGGCCGATGCATCGGGCATTCCCAACCGCAGCCTCAGGGTGTAGTAATGACCTCCCAGAAGCCTTTTCAGCAACGAGGCATGACCCGTGTGGAATTCAGAGTCGTCACCCTCGCCTTCATTCCCGCCGGTGTGGTAGGACGACGATCCATCGCCGTCTGAGCCTCCAATCAGCATCTCGTCGTCTTTGGTCGGGACAGCCCCATCGTCCTGGTGCTTCAGGCCGTCCACGCCCTCCCCGGAGTTGAACTGATGAGTGTCGATCTGTTCGTCAGGCTGGTAGCGGAGCAGGAGCACACACACGCTGACCAGAGTGTAGGCCAGCAGGGTGCCGATGGACATCATCTCGATCAGGTCTCTGAGGCTCACCAGCAGAGCGAGGATGGCCGCGAAGCTCCCGGACACAACACAGGCCGCCGCAGGAGTGTGTGTGAACGCAGACACGTGGGACAAGAACCTGCAGATTAATCAGAGAGTTAGCCAGCAGCCCTCATCCTACCTGTGCATGTGTGTGCTGTTTGCATCCTCACCTGAACAGCAGTCCATCCCGGGCCATGGCGTAGATGACTCTGGGCATCGGGAACAAAGAGCCTAACAGAGAGACGGTGAGCCCGGCTATGGAGCCCACGGCCACAATGTATTTCCCCCACAGGAAGCCGTGCACTGCAAACATCTCCATGAGAGGAGCCGAGCCATCAATCATGTTGTAGGGGACCATGAGAGTCAGGATCACGCTCACCTGTAGAGAGGAAGGGTGGGGGGAGGAGGACGGATGTGAGAATATCTAGATCAGATCAGATATCTTCAGGTACCCATGCAAAATTCTGGAGGAAACACTAAATCTTTCATTTCTGACGAAGTTTCAGAGGAACAAACATACAGAAGCACCACGTGGTACTGACCGACACGTAGGCCGTGAGGCAGGTGACCAGTGAGGCCGTGATGGCGTACGGGATTGAGGTGTTTGGGTTTTTCGCCTCCTCTCCTGTTGTTGCGATGATGTCGAAGCCGATGAAGGCGTAGAAGCACGTCGCTGCACCTTGCATCACCTGACCAGCAACAACAACAGATCACTTATTTCCTTTCCAGTCATTTTCAAGCAACTAAAACAATCAACGTGGTTCGATATCTCACCCCGGACCAGCCGTAGGGCAGGAACTTGCCGCTCCCCCAGTTGCTGGCGGAAAGGAAGAAGAGTCCGGCGATGATCATGAAGACCCAGACCACCAGGTTGACCACGTTGAGGATGTTGTTGAAGATCACTGAGTTACGCACACCAAGCGCGATTACTACTGTGACCAGCAGGGCGATAAACAGGGCCAGCAGGTCGGGGTACGTGTCCTCACCCTTACCTGAGACAGACAGAGACACAGCAGAACAAAGATATCTCATCGACATGAGGAAGAATCAAAGAATATTTTATACCTTTCATCGTCAGTCATGTTGATAACATCATGACTCTGTGATGGACAACCAGGAAATTTCCTACAGGCATTCATATTCCTCAGAGGATGAACCCTAATGACTTTGGAGATCCCCTGAAGTGTCCTCTAGGTCTGTCCCCTAATAGTTGACTAAAGTGTGAGTCAAGCTCAGTACACAGTATCTACCCGGAGGAGCTAGCGTTGGAGACTGAGCACCAAAACTGGGTTCATAGCCTTCTACGCCAACGGAGGCCAGATGATTTACAGCAAACAGGACTCTGACCCGGGAGGGACAAAGACAGACCGGGTTCAGGTGGTGACAGGAGAGGCATGAATTTGTAGTGAGTTAATTTATCAGTAACTGGCCGCCATGTTGAACCGCCATGTTTCTACAGTAGCCCTGAGCAGACAAACCAAACACTGGCTCTATACTGCTCTATAAACCTGTTCTTATTGAAGCTATAACAGGGTGTGAATTTGTTCTCTAACGTACTAACCGAGTCCTCTGAGCGTGCCCAGGTGTGTTATCATGTAGTTGCTGATGCTGTGATTGGCCAGAGAGTCGAACATGCTGCTGAGAGCGGACGCCCCCGCCGCCGTGCCAATCAGATACTCCAGAATCAGGTTCCAGCCGATGAAAAACGCCACAAACTCCCCGACCGTCACGTAGCTGTAGGTGTAGGCCGAGCCAGTCGTCTTGGGGACACGGACACCAAACTCTGCGTAGCACACACCTTAAGAGAACAATACACGCACATACACAGTTCAATCATACAACAGGTGTCATGTAGGATTAGACTGCGTTAAATATTAATTCAACACTCGAACATACAAACTGTTTAAATCTATGATATTCAGTAGTTTGATCAACATTTCCTACATCAGTTGGAGATCTCCTACAAGATTTTACCTTATAGTATCAATACCAAATACTGTCTTACAGGTAAAAGTCCTATATTCAAAGTTTTACTTAAGTGGAAGTACACTAAACGGCCAAAACAATGTGGACACCCAAACATCACGGCCTCATGTACCACCGAAGTATTTATATAGTCGGCCTATGTCTCCCCATTTCACCTGAAGTGAAGAAAGGGTTGGAAGAACTAAATGAAATAAGGACCTGAACACAAGTTATATTCAGTCCTGCATTAGAAAAGTTCAAACAACCAAAGAGCCGATAGAACGATGAGAATAAAATCAATCAATAATCTTTAGTTTACACAAACTTCCCACAGTTATTGTGTTCAATATTCATGTTTATTGTACAGTTTATCAGCTGTTCTGTATTGATTGTTAAACATTGAATATAATATGATCCATAAAATATCTCATTCCAGTGGTCGTTGGGAACCACTGCAATAGAGCACCAAATGTGTATTAATCCGCCACTGAAAATAGTCCCAAACAAAAGCGCTGTTTCCTCCTGTTTGTTGGATAAAAACCTTTTTAAAAATGTGAACTATATATTTGTGAGGTGTTTCTAAAAGAATTATGTCAGCTCCTGTTGTCCTACCTGACAGTATGGATGCCAACGCTGCAATAATAAAAGACAGGATGACCCCGGGCCCAGCCATGGCCTTGGCAACCAGCCCGGCGACCACATACATCCCGGTGCCGACGCAGCTGCCCACCCCGAGCGACACCAGGTCCACGGTGGTCAGGACCTTGGCGAGCCCGACCGGCGACCCCTCCGCCAGCTCGGTGAGGTCGTCAGAGCTGGTAGCCATGGAGCCCACAGGTTTGGTCCGCAGGAGGCGGGAATACATGTTGTACCAGGCGTCGCCCAAAGACAGCCGGCCGAGCCACGCCGCCATCACTGCACCTGTTTATTACCTGTTTATGTGTTTGTGTTTGTGACTCCTTCTACCTTTTCTCTGTCACTCACTCTATCATTCTTTCACCCTCATCATCAGTCTCCTCCTCATCTTCCTCTTTATTCTGTGTTTGTTCTTCAGGAGCCACAGATCCAAATGGAGGGAAGTAGACTGTGAAGCAGAGATGAATGAAGTATTTAAAACATTTACTAAAGTAAAAAGTACTAATAGTTTTGCATTCAGCCTTAAGTGACATCTTCACAAAGCTCCTGATATGAGTGTTTCAAGTGGAAATGTCATTATTTCAAGCTTTTTCATCTTCAAATTGACCCATTTTAATCTCTAAATCACAAATATCCATTATAAATAACCAAATTTCTAATGTATACAGTAGCTTGCTGTTGATATTCTGAAACTCAACACAGTTCACAGTCAAGTCATCATCATTGAGCAAAGAGGGAATAAATATTATATTAAATTAAATTATAGTTACCGTGTGTAATTTATGTGTAATTATACAATTTTAAACTTCTTCTCTCAGAAAATCTGGACCAACGAAACCAAAACTATACCTGCATGGCTCGATATGTTTTGTATGATTTAGATGAAGCATCTTTTTAGAAAACCAGTTTATTGATTAAATCTTACTTTGAACAAATCAAGGAAAATGTAATTAAATACAACAATTAGTCTTAAGTTCTGTTTAGCTTTTAGCATTAACTTTAATTAACTTTAGTTGCATTTACTTTATTTTAAGCTTTTACAACCTAAAAACGGCTTTTTCATTCAGAATTAATCATTTAAACTCACCAATACCTGATATTTAAATGAAAGGAGAATATGGGGCAGTTACACCTGTCCAACCCTGATGATGTGAGCCTGCAGGTGATGATGGGATACCATCAGCTGTTCTCCTCACTCACTAGAGCGAGACTCCCTCTCTGAAACATTAATGACGGCCAAGGATCTACTTTCACAACGGAAAGGTACGACTGTAGAAGCTAAAAATGAACCACATACAGACCTGAACCGACTCCTACGGATCAGAAATTACTGCTTCACACTCTCTTTAAAAACCTGAGCTGAAGTCCAACCCTGATCAACATGAACAGGTTGGATTTAAGACAGCGAGGAGCACACAAAGCTTCCAACATGTGGCATAAACACGCTGGTAAAAACATGGTGTAAAGATGCACACCTGAGCAGACAGGTAAGACTCTCACCTGTTGTGTGTTCGGTGAGGAAGGTTGGGAGGCGTCCACGTCCTCTTCCACCTGCAGGAAATGGTGACAAGAGTGGACGGCAGCATTAATCCTGCAGACCTGACACCATGTGATCAGACTGATTCATTATTCAGCACCCGAGACTGAGTGTGAGTGTGTGTGTGTGTGTGTGTGTGTAGGTGTGTGTGTGTTTGTGTGTGTCTGTGTGTGTGTGTGTGTGTGTGTGTATGTGTCATCATTCATTCATAGGAGGGAGGATAGAAGAGCTGCTGCGAAGGTGTATGTCATCTTTGTGCTGCAGCTGCCAATGGTGACGTTTCTTTACTCTTTGTGTACAGAGCTGGGAACTGACCAGGTGTGTGTGTGTGTGTGTGTGTGTGTGTGTGTGTGTGTGTGTGTGTGTGTGTGTGTGTGTGTGTGTGTAATGGAAAGTTGTCTCAGTTTTCCAACTTTCTACCTGCAGGAGCAGTTTTATCGTTGTTGTTTTTTAGGTTTTAGGTTGACATGATGAATGTTTAAATCCACGTTGAAGTGGAAACTCAATGTCCACTTACCAGCTTTTTTTCTGGACCTTTCAACCGTGTCTTCACCATCAGTGGACGGAGGTTGCTCAGTTGACATTGAGGTGGAGGCGTTGCACTCTCAGGACCTCTGTTTTCTGTTGGTTTATTTACAGGAATACAATCACATTGATGGATCATTAATAGAATATGTATTACCAGTGTGCAGTGGTGGAAGCAGGGGCGTATTCTGACTGGCCACCACATTATCCTAAACTATCCTAACAACCTTTGGTACAAACCAGGTCAGATATCTGAATGAAAATGTGTCACCACGAGTCTCCCGTTTGCAGACATTGCCAACTTTATGCTAATCCCATGCAGCTGCTGGCATGTGGTATACATTTAAAACCAAGTGTATGTTAATACTTTACATAGTGGAGACCATAAACAGTTTTAGAATTGCATAAATTGGGACAGACTGGAAAGCTGAGACACATACTTAATGCCATCCCTGCATAAGTTAGTGCCCCACTTGTGCCACCCCAGTCAAAAAGGTTTGGACATGCTCCTCCCAGGGCGCCCTGTATTCTGTATGTTTATTATAGTCTTCTGAGGTCATTTTGCCGGTGCAACATGCTGCAAACCACCCTCCCATATCAATCCTGCAGCTGCTGCAGTCGTCCCTCCTGTCAGTCAAACACATTACAGCTCGTGGATGAATCTTCTGCACTTAAACTCAAAATGAAAACCTTCCCAGAGTGTGCACACTGTACGGTTGTTGGGCTGCATGTATGTGTTATATTGTTGTGGTTATCTGCTGGTAATCTGACACACAGAGTCGGATTACGGTGCTACCTGCAGACACGGTAACATGATGGTCTAAAACAGGAGAAACAAGACACCCTAACACCGTCTGCACGAGTTGTTGGTTGGAGGACAGTTTTGGGGGGAAACAGCGAATCCTTCCCACTCGACCTGAGCTGAGTGTCGGTTCTCTCTGAAACCTTCAGCACCAAACGTGAGCTGGTTCATATGAATGTGAGGTATGATGAGGCTTTGATCTCATCAGTTTGACCTGTCTGATAATCAGATCCAGTTTGCAGAACTTGGGCCAGCTCTGGCGCTCAGTATTGGACCAGGGTACCAGTGTTTTTAGGCTGCTGGGAAAAAATCTTTTATTAGATTTTATGATTGGTTGATTATCAGCCAACCAACGAATAAGAGAGTTTTTAGCAAAGCATCCAGTGGGGGAATGTAACTTTTACTTAAGTACAAATTGGGGGTATTTTGCTGCACAATGAGTTTTACTTTTGATACATACTACTTTAAAGGTCCAGTGTGTAACATTTAGGAGGATCTATTGGCAGAAATGGATTCATAGGTATGTTTCCATTAGTGAATAATCACCTGAATATAACACAGAAGGAATTAAATGAATGAAAATCACTTAGATTGGAGATATGAGACTTTCTCCCTGCAGGAACCGTATGCAGTTATAAAAATATCTAAAAACTGTGGGGTTTGCGGACAGTAAAGAGCTCTAAAACATCAAATTCATGCACTGTACTTCTACCTTTATTGTATTTCTTTATCTTTTCCCACATTTTTTATTTGATCTGTTTGTTCTTTAAATAGAAATCTAACTGTAAACTCAACAGTCGGAGTGTTTGTATGTTAACTGTAAGTCTCTATATGAAGATCTGCTGACTGCAGAGCAGCAGAAGGTGGACGCATTCCTGAGGCTACGTGCTTTATATGCAACAGATGAGCGAATGGGAGTGAATCCAGACACACACACACACACACACACACACACACACACACACACACACATAAAGAGCACGGGCAAAGCAAAACATCGTTTTCTGTTTAATGGAGTAAAGGTTTCGGTTGGCAGCCTGAAGCAGTTTATAAAAGAGTCTGATCAGTCTGAACTGTGGAGGATTTTATGAAGTGGAAAATGACTCTTTGGTTGTGGCTGTTGTGTCATCTGTCTTCTTGTGAAGCTGAAACACAAACCGGGGGTTTCTGTTCATAGACTCTAAGATAAATATTTATCTACTAATGTTTTGTAAAATGAAATGGGACATACCTCATGAGCAGCAATCTACGACTACAACTCCCATGAGACTTTGACTGCACACTGATGGATTGTTTTGGTTTTACACACTTGTTTTGAAGGATATTAATGAGCTTAGAAGGCTCCTGAGGGCACGCCAATAATAACTCGTCACAAGGATGAGATATATTTTGTTTGTTGCTTTATTCAAAACATATGCATCTTATCTGAATAAAAACATGTCAGCAAACTAAAATTACAGCAAAAAATGAGTCTAAAGGAAAAGCTGAACAGATTGTTGACATTTTATAGGTGATAATTTCAGTCATTCCAAGGTTTTTTGTGCTCCAGCTGGGATCCTGTCACCTTACTGTATCTCTGCAGGTCTGTTCTGGTTCATCCCCTGGCTGGACGTCATCCAGAAAGTAGACCTGCAGACCGTCTGCTTTAACATCCGGCCACAAGAGGTCAGCAGCAGCTCTGCCATGAGTGAATCAGCTCTGCATGTCCACAGACTAGTCACGTTGGTTGTCATTGGCTGATGCACTTTCAAGTGAAGAACTGATCAGTTTTATTGGAGCCAGACCCAGGTTGTGTCTCTAATTTATTAATATAACGTTCGACTCACAGAGAGAAGCATTCATCTTTCTGCAAGATAAAACAACATCATGAAGGTGTTTCCAGAATCCTGAAAGTCTCATTTGTCCATCTGGGAAAACCATCAACTGCACAACTTGCAACTAAATGTATTTTCTTTGTTTTAACATTTTATTGAGGAGACAAGAATCTAGGTTTGTAATTTAAACAAATAATATGTAAAAAAGTGTTCAGTTAGTGATTATGAATCTGAAATGAAATTTAAAGCAATGATAAGGCATAAATAGTAAAACATGTTGTACCTGTATTGTCCTGCAGGAGGTGCTGTACGCTGCCTCCAGACTGTGGGCGTTCAGGTGGAGCAGGTGGACCTAAAGGACCTGACCCTCCCTGTCAATCTGCAGCGCTGCCTGATGGTTGCAGAGGCTGAGGCTGCCAGGAAGGCCAAACACACACACACACACACACACACACACACACACACATCAGATGCTACCTGTCAGCTCTCTGCTATGCTGCATTGAAGTGTGTCTGAGCTCCCGCCATCTGTTTCCTTTAATCCCAGTGAACCTACAGACATTAAACTGACTGTACGTTGATGTCTGTGTAGGTTGTCAGTGATTGAGGTTGTTTATATTTACAGTGCTGCTCAAAGGTCTCCTTCATGGTGGACCGATGGAGCTCAAATTAGCTTTCCCTAAACATATACAACAGCTTCTGTGATTTAGATCTTGCACTTATTACTTATTACATATTGTGATTTCAATAATAATGTGATTAATTATGCATGTTTGACCTGTATGAGTTCACTATGTGTAAGACTAAACTTACCTGGTTTCTTCCCTAAAGATTTCTCTTTTTATTGGTTAATTTAAAAACAATTCTGTGACACGCCATTTTATTTACCTGCTCGTTTTAAGCGACGCAGCTCGGGGAAACTAACTAACGTTTGCTCCTACACAATTAAGTCTTTTCACAACACAATTTCCTCAATATAGTTTATGGAACTGATAAACATCAACCTGTTATTTCATATAGAAAATACTATTTCTGATTAAATACATAAAATGATAGGAAACTGGATATTGTAGAGGTTTAAAACATGAGTAAAGTAGCTGAAAGTAAGTCAGTGGTGTGATATAGATGTTAATTCTATGAAATTGTAGTGTGGATTGTTATTTTTTTCATTAAATTTGGCCTTAATGTCAGCTGACCTACAAATGTGGAGCTTCACTGTTAGACTGCAGCTTGTATCTGACTCCACAACTCACTTTATCTGAGAAAATATTGACTGATTTCAGTATTTTTAGGCTCAACAGGTTATTACACAGCAGTATATATTTATATATATCACAGATTGGACTCCTGTACTACACTGAGCAACAGGAACATCACAGATTATAATCCTAAAAACAAAGAACTATCCAAAGAGCGACTTGAGATATAAGAAACGTATAATCGTTATTGTTAACCCTGTTTACATTGTTGGTATTGTGCGTCGGGAACAGACGAACAATGGCACATATTTAAACAAAGAAACTTTATTTAATAATAGATTGATCAAATTGAGTCAAATTAAAGGTGAAATAAAAGCTTTAAATTACCTTTAATTTAATTTTTAAATGTTTCTTCTGTGAAAAATCTTTTTTATTTGGCTTTTACTTTGGAAGTAATGTTATATCTTTAGTTTTAGGTTTAAATAATTGTTTTACATTTAATTGTTTTTATTTCACTCAGTTTTAATCCTTGCAAAAATGTATTTATGGTTGCTGATGTTAGTTTTTTATGTCTTGTTCCAGTTTGTTATGTGAAGCACTTTGTACTGTTTGTATGAAAGCTGCTATGTATAAATAAAGTTGAGTTGAGTTGAATTTAAAGACGCAATAACGGATTAAAATAGGCCGTGTGAATGCCGCTGAGTGTATGCGTGCAGAAA